CCCCCCGGCCGCTCCAGCTGGTGCTGGCCAGCCCGCTGCAGCTGCACCGCGTGGAGGTGGAGATCCTGGATGTGAACGACAACGCGCCGCGCTTCCCCAAGCAGGAAGTGGCCCTGGAGATCACCGAGGTGGCGAACCCCGGGACTCGCCTGCCCCTGGTGCACCGCGTGGAGGTGGAGATCCTGGATGTGAACGACAACGCGCCGCGCTTCCCCAAGCAGGAAGTGGCCCTGGAGATCACCGAGGTGGCGAACCCCGGGACTCGCCTGCCCCTGGAGGCGGCAGAGGACCCCGACATGGGCTCCAACTCCATCTCCACCTACCAGCTGAGCGCCAGCGACCACTTCGCCCTGCACATCCACGTGAGAGGAGATGGCGTGAAAATGCCGGAAATCGTGCTGGAGAGAGCCCTGGACAGGGAGAAGGTGGCTGCCCACCATTTAACCCTCACAGCTCTGGATGGCGGGGACCCGGCGAGATCCGGCACGGCCGTGGTCACGGTTCACGTCCTGGATGCCAACGACAACGCCCCCGTGTGCAACCCACCCGTCTCCAAAGTGTTCCTGGAGGAAAACGCCCCGGCAGGGACGCTGGTGACGCAGCTGAATGTCACTGACTTGGATGAAGGCCCCAATGGGCAGCTGGAATATTCCTTCAAAACCAGCAATAACGCCCCGGATCAACTGCTCAGCCTGTTCAGCCTGGACCCCCAGACGGGGGAGATCAGGACCAAAGCCCCGCTGGATTACGAGGAGTGCAGCGCGTACGAGATCGCCGTTCGAGCCAGAGACCAGGGGTCCCCCGCCATGGAGGGGCACTGCAGCCTCCGCGTGGAGCTGGTGGATGTGAACGACAACAGCCCGGACATTGTCCTGACCTCCCTCTCCAGCCCGGTGCAGGAGGATGCGCCGCCGGGCACTGTGATCGCGCTCATCGGCGCCAAGGACAGCGACTCCAAGGAGAACGGACACGTCCACTTGCACATAAGCAACGATCTTCCCTTTAAATTGGTGAGCTCCTTCACAGGGCACTACTCCCTGGTCACCGCTGGGCCTCTCGACCGAGAAGAGGCTGCTGGGTACAACATCACCGTTACGGCCACGGACGCAGGGGCCCCTCCAAGGTCCACCCAGCAAACCATCAGCCTCCAAATCTCCGATGTGAACGATAACGTGCCCCAGTTCTCTAGCCCCTCCTACACGGCCCACATTCAGGAGAATACCCTGCCCGGGGCCTCCGTGTTCTCCGTCTCCGCCTCTGACCCCGATGTGGGCACCAACTCCAAGCTTTCCTACTCCATTCTGGACACCGGCACGCAGGACTTGCCCCTCTCCACCTACTTCCACATCAACCAGGAGAACGGCACCATCTACGCCTTGCAGGCCCTTGACTACGAGCGGGACAAAGTGTTCCAGGTGCCTGTGGAGGTGCGTGACGCTGGGTCCCCTCCCCTGAGCAGCACCGCCGTGCTCAACCTGTTCGTCCTGGATGAGAATGACAACGCGCCCACCATCGTCTACCCGCCTGTCCTCAGGGGCTCCGCCTTCCAGCAGACAGTGCCCTCCTCGGCCGAGCCAGGCTACCTGGTCACCAAGATTGTGGCCGTGGATGCTGACAGTGGCCACAATGCCTGGCTCTCGTACCAGCTCCAAGAGACCAGTGAGCCTTGCCCCTTCCGGGTGGAGCATCGCTCTGGAGAGGTCCGAATAACTGAGGCCCTTAAGGAGTCAGGAGCCCCCCACAGGCTGGTGGTCCAGGTGAGGGACAATGGGACCCCACCCCTGTCTGCCTCAGTGGCTCTACTCATCTCTCCCGAGGAGAACTCTGTGCCAGACTTCGCCAAGGCCTTGGACCTTCCTAAATCACCTTCCAGAGCATCCAGCCTCACTCTCTACCTCATCATCTCCCTGGTCGCCATTTCGCTGGTCTCATGCGTGATGCTAGCTGTCTTAGGTGCCCGGTGCCTCAAATCTGGCCCTGGGACTGGGGGTTGGCCCCTCTCACGCTGCTGTCGGAGGACAGGCCGCAAGTCCACGTCACACTTTCCCAGGCAGTTGAATCCAGAGGGTTTCATCAAGTACCTGGATGCGGGCGGAGCTGGCCTGGTATCCCAGGCACCGCACTACAAGTCTTGTTTCTCTCCAATGTCTGATCAAGGGGATTTCCTCTTCATAAAGCCTTTCAGCCACTCCACTACCGGGGAGAGCATGGCTGGCTTTGATCAGGTGGCCAGCACCTTAGTGAGTCCCTGCGACGGGGTAAGCGCCGTGTGTGTGTCCTGCTGTCCTGTCTGCTTGTAAATAGCCCTGCTGCTCCGTCAGGCCTTTTGGGACACAGCGGCCTCCTGGGGAAAGTGCCCTGTCTCCGCTTGTCCAGAAAGATGCAGGGGGAAGGCTCAGGCTCTGGGGGGGCTAACACTTCAGAGCCAGAGTCGTAGGTTGACTGGCCCTGGGAACTGAATTGTTCCCTTTAAATCGTTCCTTGTTCACATGCTCTGACCTGACTCAAGTGAGGCATCCCTGTCTTGTTGTGGGGTTGCTGTAGCTGTGTTGGTCCCATGATATTAGAGAGACGGTAGGCGAGGTCGTTTCCTTTACTGGACCAACATTTGTTGCTGAGAGAGACACTCTCCAGCTTTTCTTCAGGGGGAATATGATTGTGTGTTTACCTCTAAGCGCTTTATTCTGCGTGTGAAGCTGGACTTGGAACATAGCAGTTTGCTAAATTAAGTTTTTCTGTTTTAATCTTCTTGTGACCTGCAGGTTTGTTGCCGAAACTTTTCACTTAGTGATGTCTGTTACAACCTGCTGATCAGGCCAGGATGACCACTCCGGCCAAACTTTTCAAACTCGGTGGCATAAATATATAGCTCCAATTTTAGAAGTGCTGGGCTCTTGTAGCTCCCACTGAACTTAGTGAGATCAGGAGCTCGGGACATTCGAAAATACAGCTCATTTCATGTAGATGCCTATACATAGATATAAATACCCACACTGAGGCATCCAGGTGTGAGTATTTTGGGCTCCGGCTCTAAAATTATTTTTGTCAGTAATTGTGTGTCCTAAAATTGGAAAGTGACAGTCACCGTAATAGAGAATAAATACAGAGACAGCCTCATTCACAAAATGAGTGTGTATAGATGGATTGTGGGGGGGGTGTCATTTAAAAAAATAGAAGTCAAAGTAAAATGCTCTTTAATTTGCATGCATACAGGTTGGATCGCAATGGGACTCCTTTCTGGGAAGTCAGTAGTTTCTGTGCGGCACTTCATTGCCATAATCATTAACGTGATAGATAAATGAGTAATATCGCTTCTTCCGCTAAATAAAAACTAGGTCAGCTGTATCCATCTTCCTTACTAATTGTCTGTACAAGCAGAAAAAATCCCGTTCTGCCTTATAAAGCCTAAGATCCTTTTCCCAAGATAACCCAGGAGACATCTTTACAGTGCTAAAGGCAGCACCACGGAACTGCAGAGTTAATTGAAAAGTTAGCTAGAAGTCTATTATTTTTGGAAGCACTTGTATTTCCCACAGCAAACAGTTCTGCCTTGTAGCTCTCCTTACAGAGACTTAATACATCGAGCTGTTTGGTGCATTTCTTTATTTACAAACTGTCCATTGTCTGATAAGGAAACAATGTGGGTGGAAAGTGATAAAGGGTGGTCTGTTATATCTGTAAGCTGTTGTGTCTCCTAAACAAATAACACATTTGGTTGTGGGAAGTGAATTCTTTTCTGCATAGACAGAACAATACTTTAATGCATCAAGGACACAGGATCCCGGAAAAGATTAATTAAATCAAAATGTAATGATAAGATTGCGAAATGAGGACACTGTGCAAGCATCTTAAGAAAGGGGGATCGGGCAAATTAGGAAATTCTGGTACCCTTCCAGCTGCTGGCATTAAAACCCATCTTGCTTGGTATCAATTAACTCTGCTTCTCCCTCACCTCATTATTTCTGCAGTGTTCCAGTTTAACTGATGTCCTTATCAGTTCCTTGCATGCTTCATTTCTTTCACAGCTTCGTTTCCTGAGCTTATTTTGGAAGATTATTCACCAAATGGTTTTGTCATCCTCTGTAGCAATTGTCTTGATTCATAAATATTCCAGAGGAAGGGGGTCTGGTTTTTTGTGTCCTTGTTTGTGTGTTTTGCTATTTTTGGTTACTCCCATGAATTTTAAAATTATTTTCTTTCATCTACACGTTTAGCTTCCAGATGGGTTTCCAGGCCATACTAATCCTGGATCAGTTTGATTTCATAAAGGCATTAAAATACTTTTCTGTTTCCCTTGCAGCAAGCCCAGCCTAACCCGGACTGGCGTTTCTCTCAGGCCCAGAGACCTGGAACCAGTGGGTGAGTGACTCGCTTTCTGTGCCTCTGCTCACACACTGGCTCTTCTGATTTTTCTTGTTGATTTTGTGATTTCTGCTGGCGGAAGGTGCCAGGTTGGTGCCCTGGAGACGGTGTTTGTCTGATTGTACATAGAACAACGATAGCCTAGGAAGCAGGGCGAGCGTCCTTCACCCCCAGACTCTCCGCCCCCCGCCTCTGGAGCTCAGGCTTGGCCAGAGAGGTGCATTTGATCTTGTGGGCAATTTAGTCCTTGGTTCCCTGCTGAAATCCCCAAAAGGGGCTGAATTCATACTAGTCCTGCTGGTGTTCTTTGCAGCATTGCCTGCCCGGCTCCCGACACCTGGCTACTGGGAACGGGAACGAGGCCTTGTCCGCACACAAGCTCGCACTGAACTAACTCAGTGGGTTTGAAGTCGCAGCTTGCGGTGCTCAGTGTGAGCCTGCACATGTGGCCTCCTCATCTGGAATGACAGTAACACAATTTGATTTTGCTTGTCAGTGAAAAAGGGTCTCAGAGCCGTGAGCCTGCAGCCTTAACACGGTAGCCGTGTGAGCTTGTAACTTTCAAAACAACGAGTGCCTGTGGCACCCCAGAGTCCAACACTCTGTATGTCTAGTATCATGAGCTTTCCTGGGCAAAGCCCATTTCAGGTGAGCTGGAGAGGAATAGCACAAACCCGGAATTTATAACAGAAAAAGAAGCGGAGGCGGGTACCTGTGAATTGCAAGACCGGTGCTAATGAGGCTAATGAAGAGGTTCTGGACGTGTCCCATGCCAAGCTTGTGGTGTAAATGATCTGTCAGATGCAGGGAAGCTGCTTTACAATGTGACATCCAGTTGATGCTGTGACGTAGTGGGGGTACCTTGCTGGTTGCTAGGCTAGGGTTGTGAGTGACCTCCATTGGCTGCAGCACAGCCCAGCAGGGCCGCGGATGAGTCATTATGCAAGGGGGCTTCAAACCTGTCTGACCAGTTATCTCCCAGGGAGTGGAACAATGGGAAGAAGGGGAGTGGAGCCCTGGCTGGGGGCAGGGCTGGAAGTGAGTTAGTTAGTTTCTGTGTGGGAGCATGGAGGAGGCAGCCTAAGCAAGGGGCTGGGATTTAGTGGCCCAGTCTCCCCCATCTCAAGGGGGGCTGAGGCCTCCTAGGCCTGCCCTGGAACCAGATTACATCTGTGGGAGCAGAGCTCTGCCTCTGTTCTACTGGCTGGTGGAGTCTGTCCGTGCTATTACAGGGGTGCAGGAGACGGGAAAAACCCAACGTGCCGTCACAGATGCTTTGATCAAGCCCAGGGAAACAGAGTCAAATGTGCAGTTGAAGGCTTTTTCCATACTCGCTCTCTCTGGGACAGGCTGGTGAATTGCTTTGTGGAAGGACGGCTGCTTGTAACTCCATGGCTGAGTGGCCAGGCAGGTTAAAACGTTCCCATGCAGCTGTGTGTGTGACCGTTTCTGACATCTGACTTGTGTCCATGCACCCCTTGTCGCAGAGACTGTCCGGTGTGGCTGATACCCATGGCAGAGGGGCATTGCTGGCACTTGATGGCACAGATCATGCTAGGGGATGTGCAGTGGTATGACCCCTGACATGGTAGCTGATGTGACTAGGTCCTGTGATGGTGTTGCTTGTATAGATGTGTGGACAGAGATGGCAACAGAATTTGTTGCAGGGGTAGGTTCCTGGGCGAGTATCTGAGGTGTGAGGTGTGGCTGCTGGAAAGTGTTTGTTTTTGGATAGGGGGCTGTCTGTCTGCCAGAGCCTGTGAAAGTGAGGGATTGTTTCCAGGATAGGTTGTAGTTTGTCAGTGATGCACTGGGAGGGGGAGGAGGGGTTGAGCTGGGGCTGTAGGTGATGACCAATGGTGTTCTGTTGTTTTCCTTGTTGGGCCTGTCTTGAAGAAATAGATTCCTGGCTACTCGTCTGGCTGTCGATCTGTTTCTTCGCTTCTCTAAGTGGGTATGTAAGTTTTAAGAATGCCTGACAGAGATTCTGTAGGTGGTTGTCTCTGTGGGAGTGGGGCAAATCCGGTTGTATCTTGGGGCCTGGTTGTAAACAATGGATCGTGTGACGTGTTCTGGAGGGAAGCTAGAGGCATGTGGGTAAGAACAGCTCTCGGTAGGTTTCCGGTATGGGGCAGTGTTAATGTGACCATTATCTAATTGTATGGTAGTGTTGAGGGAGTGGGTCTCGGAGGGGCTGGTCCAGGCTGAGGTTGATGGGGGGTGGAAGTTGTTGAAATCCCAGTGGAACTCTTCAGGGGTCTCCTTCTCGCTGGTCCAGATGATGATGATGTCAGTGTGGTGGAAGCAGGGGCAGCGTGCTAGGGGGCGAGAGCTGAGGGGAACGCTGGCTGTTGTGGGGCTCTGCGGGCGCCTATAGCTGTACCACTGACCCGCAGGTATAAATTGTCCCCAAATTGGAAATGGTTGTGGGTGAGGACACAGCCACAGAGCTCAGCCACCAGGTAACCTGTGGCGGCGGCGCGGAGACTGTTCCTGACACCTTGTGGGGCATGTCGGTGTAAAGAGCTTCTACGTCCATGGTGGCCAGGGCGGTGTTTTCAGGATGATCCCTGATGCTCTGTAGTTTCCTCAGCCCTGGGGGCCACATGTGAGCCCTGGGCCTTCGGTTCCCCACCCCCGATTTAAGCAGTAAGCTCTCTGAGTGGGACCAGCTTTCTGAGGCTCCACAGCGCCTGTCCTCGGTGCCTCTGCAAGGCGAATAATCATAATCTTAAATTCTCCCATGATCTGAGATGAGTGTGGCCAGTCACGTGCAGAGCGGGCGGCTTTCTGGGAACGGAGCCAGGTGGGACCATTCATGAAAACATGCTGCGCACTCAGCCCTCTCTCGGAGTGCTGTGACTCAGAGTTTGAGATTAATCTGCTTAGTCAGGAGACTAGTTCGGTTTATTTAATAACACTTGGTTTTGGATTTATTCAAAAGGCATCCACCAGACTTGAGGCACATGTCACTGGACACAAAGCACCAGCTAACAACACACACAATTTAGATCAGTACAAAAGAAATCATATCAGGCTCCCACTTCCCATCCCCAATACCTTGGCTTGGAGACGACAGTGTTTAAATATCCAAAGTGAAATGTACGACCAGGCCAGCGGTCTGGGAGCAACACGGAAAGGGAGGGTGAAATTTCAGGTGGCTGCTTTGCACCTGGACCAGCAGAGCCGGTGACGCAGGGGAAGCAGCGCTCTGCGCTTAGAACAGGGAGGAGACTCCAATCACCCTGGGCTTGTGCCCGGCTTGCTGGCTCTGCAGTGGTCCCCAAGGAGCGGAGACACCAGCGAGCCTGCACATTCACACACTGCCCAATGGGTCAGCTACTGGCATGGCCCCCGGAACTACTCTTTACGGGAGTTTCTGCTCCATCTTCTGAGCCCAGGGCCAGCAAACCATTAGGGTTTAAGCACGTGCTTAAGTATTTGCCAAATTAGGCCCCGATTCGCAGGCTAGGCCCAAGCCGAAGGAGTTCTGTGCAGATCACTGCTCCTGGTCTGTTACTGTCACCATTGTCTCCTCCAGCCCTGGGCTGTCAGCCTCATGCCACGTGGACAGGAGAGAGGAATAGACCGTGGCCATGGGACAGCGCTTGCTTTTAGCCCTGGAACTGACGTGGAGCGACCGAGCCTATAGAAAGGCTGGTGGGTTATTTGACAGGTGTTTTCTGTTTTACTCTCTCCCTCCAAGCTCTGTAAATTGGATTCCTGGGACTAAGGGAGCCTGGCTTGGCAGATGGAAGGAATTTTTTTTTTAAATCCCAATGGAACTTTTTAATGCTCCCAGACACACTATTCGCTGCGTCAGTCTCTGTGATATGTGTGGCATTTGCAGAGTGCCTGGAGGCTGGCACCAGGGTTTTCCTGGCACTAGGGCACGTGACCTGCATCACTCACTTGTGAATTCATCACCCTGAGTAAAAGGCCAGCCAGCAATTATGCCAATAAAAACTCGACACGACTCCACACCAGCAGCTGTGTGAATAAGACAAGTGTGTGGGTGGGACACACACGCGCACTCACATTTTCCAAAACACAACAAAAGTGTGTTAAGATTGCTGGCTAAAACAACTGGAATAAAAACTCCTAGCTGCTCTCTAGCAAGAACACTGCAGCCAATTAAATTGGAAGTGTTAAAAAGTCTGCAGCTATTCCTTTAAGGTAACCTAGCTCTAGATACCAGCCACTTTGCCTTTCCTCCATTCTCTGCAAAAATCAAAATGTGTGAAAACTCATGCTCCCCGGCCCCCACACCAGCCTCAGGGTGACTGCACCCCAAGGAGATTCTGTCTGAGGCAGGGTGGGTGCTGGTACTTCCAGGCCGCATGAGCTGAGTCCAGAGTGATCTTCATAGTCAGTGGCCTGTGCGGTGAGGTGTAAGTGCTCAGTGTGAAACAGATAATGAATAAACCACACGTGGCACACGCCAGCTGATGTACACAGAGAACAGAACTGTGGCTGTTACTGGCTCAAAGAGGCTCTTTATAGAAATGTCTTAATGATGCTGCAACACAGCGTGGGAGATGTGTGACTCATCTGATCGTTAAAATAGGTCACATTGATTGGGGCGATTCCAGTGAAAGTAGCAAAGACCTGGAGCTCAAAATCCAGCTCCCAGTGTCTCTGCTCCCATTGGCTGGAAACGGTGATCCGTGGCCAGTGGGCGCTGCGATCGCCCCCTCCCTGTGGCCATGCAAGTAAATACAGCAGCGGCCTGGCGAATCGCTCCCACGCTAGTGCACGCCCCGACTTAGATCCAGATCTGACCCCAACTGGTCACCGAAGTGAAACAGTTTTTAATCTTTTGAAATAGTCCTTGTAAACGTGGCTGTGCCAGGCCATGTGTATTGACAGCGAGATCTTCTGCCTCCGATTGAACGTTCCTAGCAAAACGGCTCATGAATTTCCACACATCTGGGCAAGTGAATTACGGGGCCAGTTCAGGGATGCTGTCCGCTTTGCACCGCTCTCGTTCTGCAAAA